TCAGTGCTGTCTGAATAATGCTGGCTTTCCTCTTTAAAGGCTGAGTGGAAACCCGGATGTCTATTAACGTTGTCGTACTGTAGTAACACGTTTAACGATTGGGAAGCCAGCTGGGGTATTGATCAGGATTGACTCTGTTCAAAAATTCAATTGTGAATTTAGTAAAAAAGAGCATATTTTAAAATTGTGAACTTGTTTTATATACGTGTTTGAATGTTTGTATTCTGAAAGACAAAACGTGCTCGCGTTTAAGCGGCAGTAAAGGCTTTGCTGCAGTGTCCTGTGGGAACTGTGGAATGTGAAATCAGCTTTCTGCACCTCATCACAGAAAGCAGACGTCTGAGAAGCAGCCCTACTGCCAGGCGTCGAGCACCCCTGAGGAGCTGGCTCCTCGTGCATTTGTTAATGATCTTAGATAAAGGATAATAAGGCACAAGTCCATTTTAAAATATTTTCGATGATAGTGGGTGAAAAGTAGAACTGAATACATTTCAAGCAAAAAGGATATTCTTCAAGAAGAAAACACGTTACTTACGTAGCACGTATGTTAAACTTCTCATACATGGAATCAACGTTAAATGTGGGAATATTTCTAATAATTAATCTTTACTCCAGAACGCATTGCAAGCCAGTGTTCAAACAGTTTCCTAACGGACAAACTGCACATTGTGTAAGTGTTCTATCTGTTTGGCATACCCAGGTGTTCCGAGCTCCTACACCAATAGGGAATTTTTAAAAAAGGAATCACCTACTTTTAATTCCTTGGGATATTTTCTGGAAGTCTCTGTTCATTACAATTTAGAAAACTATTGTTTATGCTATTATATTTTAATTGCAAGTTAAAGACCTTGCAAAAGCTGTTAATTTCTCACAGCTTCTTTTGTGAAATCTACATTGTTATGTGTGATGGCATTTAAAAATGACAGCATGTTCTTTTTTTAATCTGAATTTTGTATCTAATCAATGTCTTCAGTCATGAAGAGGAATTTGCATTGTTGTGTTTGTATATAGAGTATTGCAGTGCATGATTTAGCTTATGCATTTTATTAAATGCTGTTTAAGTGTGGCATTACATTGTTGTGGCTTAATACTACTACCTAAATGAGGTTTGTACCATTAAAGTGAGTTACAAATTAAATGACTTCTTGAGTTTTATTTCTAAGTTCACTTAACTTGTTCTGAACCATTAAGTGTCTAAGCTAAACACATCATTTACTCTCTTTCGGGGAGAAACAGTATTTTCCCTTCACTACGCTGATTATCTTAGGAGCGATTTAGCTGGGTCTAAGATGGAGGACAAAGCCCGCGAACCTTACCGACAGCTCCTTCTAGAAGGGCCCTTCCCGGAGGGTTTAGTTCTTCTTTAGCCTCCTGTTTGTCTCGGGGATCGTGAGGAGATCGTCAGCTCAACAGACAGCGCTTTACCTTTGCTGTCACCCGGGAGCTCCCCCGCTCCCCGCTTTTGAACTCGGGTGCTGCACCGGGGCGCGGGT